ATCCCACCCCACGGGAGTTCTCTGCTGTTGACGTTTAGAAAGGAAACGAGTGAGTGTTGGCTGCAGCACAGTCCACGGTCCAGCGGAGGGACTTAGAAGGCTCTGCTGGAAAAAGCATGTTAGGTACTTTACTCCCGGGTTCATTACATCTTTAAAGGGTCTGCTTAATCCTCACGGAGGTCCCAGCGGCGCGTGCAGCAGATCCTGTGCTTGGCTTCGAACTGTAGCTGGTTCCCTGTCTGCCACTCAGTCCGGCGACCTGTGGTCAAGAATGTCCCTAGACCACCGACAGGCATCCTCTCCTGCCAGCTCCCTCCCACTGGGCTGCCCAATTTTCACTTGAGTCCCATGCAGCTGTTTTTTGGTTTACAACTGCCCTCCTCTGTAGCTGCACGGCACTCACCCAACAATCGAGAAGCTACTTTCTGGTTCGGGAGCGCTCGCGCCTACGGGGATTCACTGGCGGCTCCGCCACGCTGCTCGTTAGTAAGAAGCCTCACGCCTTAAGCGTGCTCCTGTCAAGGACACTTCCTGTCCATTTCGGGGTCGGACTCTCGCCTCCTCATGGCCTCATTTCTGCAACCAAGCAGCACACACGCTCCCACCTGGAGAACTGAGTGCCTCTTATGGGTGCTGAGCAGGGGGCACCGCCTTCTAAGTGTAGACACAGGGAAGGTCCCTTACCAGGGTGCCCGGCACAGAACAGGCATTCGGAGAAGTCGAATCTTTCGGTCACTGCTCTTTCCGCGATTTATTTCAGATCTTGAGGCTTTGAGAGGCCCTTATTGCACATCACTAAGCAAATCTCAACGCTGCTGTAAACTCTAAATTGAAATCCCAGGCCCGGATGTGCAGCCTGGCCCGAGTCACTCACCTGGCTTTGGAACTACTAAAATGAGAACGGGTCATCCCCATGCACAAACCATTTGTGTCTCCACAGCTCCTCTGTAAGGCGGTAGATGGACACACTCTTCCTTAGAGATCAGGATGTTGCATTTAGGCTGTTCAACCCACAACACACCCGAACACAGCACTGGTGTCTCAGCCTGGACCCACCACGGTGCCCGGGACAGTGCAGGCACTCAGGCGTTTGCTGGATACAGCTGTGAATCCCTGCGCGTGGGGCAGGCACACACTGGCTCTGGGGAGATCTCTGCTGGAGTCCCGGTGGATGCTTGTCTTCCCCCCACCCTCCTTCACACCCCCCCTTTCCTACTCCTCTCTTACACACTCTGAATGTCAGCACCAGGGACCGACCACCTTCTGATGTTCCAAAGGTGGCTGCTGCTTCCTGCCAGAATCGCCTTAAGCCAGCCGCAGATCTCAGCTGTGCACGTCAGGAGGGGCGAGATCTGATTAAGTTATTTCACAATGAAATGTGAACATCTGATGCATTTTAACTCGTCCAGAGACTTCTGGCTCTTTAAAAGATGCCCCACTACCCAAACAAATATAACTTTGTGCGGAGTGCAGAAAAATGAACGAAACAGGTCTACACCGTGGAGAGATTAATGCCGCCTGGGGGACTGCTTCTAAAATATGTCTGCTTGGCCGGCCGGGCGTGGCTCAGCTGCTGAGCATCAGCCTGGGATCCAGGAGATCGCGGTTTGATTCCTGGTCAGGGCACATGCCCGGGTCTTGGGTTCTATCCCCAGCAGGGGGTGTGCAGGGGGCAGCCCATCAATGACTCTCATTGATGTTTCCCTCCCTCTCTCTAAAATTAATAGACATACTTTAAAAAAACTGATTTATGCATTCTAAATGCAAAAAACAATCCTGTCTCTAGGAACTCTACATTCAGGAACCTAACACTGCTTAGAATTGGTTTAGCAGTTTTACTTGAAGATAATCCCAAACTAAATTTTTTTTTTTTTTGGAGTGCCAGAAATAACTTTCACAGAAGGGCTTTTTCTATGTGCTTCAGGCTCTAAAGTAGCCCTGTCCCACCTGCCAACCTCGTACCAATTGCAAATAACTCAAAGTATGTCTTTCTTCTTATTTTCCTTTTCTAATCCTTACCCAAGGATATTTTTTCCATTGCTTTTCAAAGAGAATGGAAGGGAAGGGAGAGAGAAACATCGATGTGAAAGAGACACATCAATTGGTTGCCTCTCACATGTGCCCCAACCAGGCCAGGGATTGAACCTTCAACCAAGGTCCATACCCTTGGCCACCACTGAACCCGGGACCCTTCAATTCACAGGCCAACACTAACCACTGAGCCAAACTGGCTAAGGCAAAGTATCTCTTACTTGATGGGTAACCAGGATACCTAATTTCTAAAAGAGTTTGCTGCTGTCTGCTAATCCATAATCTACCCTANCTAAGCAACATCCTTCTCTATCATCACTTCGAAAACTAATGATTTTCACAAGTTCCATTCCTTCTTCACGTTTCCGTGGTGACAGCGGGTGGGATGCTGCTGATGAACGTGTACAGGAACAGTGTGAGTCCAGCCCTGACAGCGTTTCCCCCCAAACTGGAACAGAAGCCAAGGGTTCAAGGCTCAACCTAACGTGTCCTCAAAGTACAGTCCCCTCCAGAGTGAGCAGAAGTGGCAGGGAGGGCGGGTTCAGATGTCACCACGGGGCCAGGATCCTGCTTTTACTCATCCTGGCCTGGCCATAAGGGTGAGTTAACTTTTTTGAAAAAAGTGGGGGGGGGGAGCGAGGGAACGCCACGTATCTCCAACAAACCGTCATGTTCATGGGGGAGAAAGGCCTGGAGACAAGAACCGACAGACGCATCTAAATTAGAGCAAGAAAGTGGAGACTCGGAAAATGAAGCAGAAAAAACAACCTACACGGGATTCTGCTCCTACGTGTGCTCACTCTGGCTGCCCTAAGGCAGCAATTACTTTAAGGGTAAAAGCAGAAAACACCCACTTGGCCAAGGAGAGCAAAAGAGCAGATTAATTCCAACACACACTTGCAACTTCTGCCTGACACCAGCTTCAAAAGGCAGAGGCCTCATTAAGAGACGGCACAGCCCCTCCAGCAGCAGGAAAACACTTAAAATCAAGTCGGTGCTGGGGGCCTGGACGGGAAACGGAGCCGAGTTCACCTACATCAGTTCACCGTGTTGTTACAGCTACTTAGGACATGCCTCTGACATCGCTCTTCGGTAAAAACGTGCTGAAGGCCTTCTAAATAAAGCCAGCCGTGGTCTCCACCCGTCATCCGGCTTTCATTCCTCCCACCCGAGTGACACATAGAACAAACAGAGCACCCTGCCCATGTGCCAGCCTTCCTGCCAACATCTCCATGCACCCCGACAAGTGTTTATTAGCCCTGACAACACCCCAACAAAGAAGAGAGCCGGCCACCAGAGCCTCGTCATTTCCCCAGGCGGGTAAAGGGGAGAAAACTAAGCTGGTGAACTCGAGGACGAACTCAAGGTCACGAATACGGCGGAAAAGTGACCTCGGGGCTCACACGTCCTCACTCAGCCCCTCCACAATTTCTCAGTGGCCCTTAATGGCCATATTTGTCTAGTTCTCTGTAAGAACAGAAGTACCTGGAGGGCACAGGGCCAACTCTTTTTAAAGGCTGTTAGTAGCCAGCACACAGAGTCCTATTATGATATTTAATTTCAAAATTACTGCAACAACAATTACATAAAATGAAAAGTTCGCTTTTCCGCCTAGCAGCTCCTCTGCAGTGAACTCAGTTTACTCAAGCACCACACTCTGGACTGAGCAGCCCAAGGACATGTGCCCGGGACCACGGTGGTCGCAGGAAACCCTTCACGCAGCCACAGTAGCCGAAGCTTCTTTCCAGACTGGCCGGCCCCGGTCTCTACATCCCACAGGCTTGAAGACACACTCCTGCCTTCACCACGACAGCCACAATAAGAAAGGAAGGCGGTTATAATAAAACTCAACATGGTTCTCCAGAACCCAGTCTCACGATTTTTTAACAGCAATCCTAGGTGGTGAGAAATAAAATTCGGCGATAGTTTAGCATCTAACACAGTGTATTTAATGAAAAGACATAAATACCAGAACTCCAATCATTTAGTGAAGAGAGAAATTCCACTAAAAGGGAAAGGCAGAAATGATCCAAAAATGTGCTTAATTTTTCTCAATAGGTACTAAAAATGCCAATTATCCAAATGGCCACCTGCGCGGGAGGCAATTCTTCACCCGTGAAAGCCTGAGGTGGAAGAACCTTCGATGAGCTGCCCTTAGGTGACAGCGTGAAACAGACCTCAGCTACCCACACTGTCCTTGAGGGCCTTTCTGAGGACGCTCCAGCCGCTTCTGACATTGTCCCAATAATCCCCACACCATGCCCGGAGGAGGGAGGGGACAGGATCAAGTCCACTTTGCAAATGAGGAACCAGAGGCAGTGGCCGGGGAGTCAAGGCCACACAGTGAGCGGCGGGCACTCACCCCACTCCCGGCCCCGCTCTGATGGCTTGAGTTCCACACGTCCCGTGTTAAAGTGTGTTGACAAAAACTGTCTTTTTTCGGGGAAGAGAGGGTAGAAAGGGGAGAAGGACAGTTTCACAACATCTGGGGAGAAGCGGTCCTTTCAGAAAACGTGAAATAGTGAAAAGGGAGAAAGTGGAAAAGTCAGCTGGAGCAGCTCCTAGGGAGAGCACACAGGCTGACGGGTTTCTTCCCCCAGGTATTGCCCATTCTCAGGCTCCTCCTGACTCACGGCTCTAAGCTCCTCTGGCCGAGCTTACTCCCCGTTTCCTTAGCAAAGAGGTGAAGACGCGGGGGCCCCGCCCGGGCAGCCCCGCTGGCTGGAGCACTGTCCCGATGCGCCGGGGCGGGGGGTTCAGTCTTTGGTCAGGATACAGGAGTCAACCAATGAATGAAATGCATCAATAAGGGGAACAACAAATCGATACTTTCTCTCTCTCTAAAAAACCAATAAATAAAAATTTTTAAAAAAGGAAAACATGTAGAACTGTTTAAAAAACATCAGTTGTCAAATCATGAAGCTCTCAAGGCGAGGGCAACACAGGAGCCCCCGGACTTCGCGACCTACCTTTGCTTCATCGTTAATGTCCCACGTGAAAGAAATGGCATTATAAGCAATCTCCTCAATGTTGCTGATGGTATTGAAGCTCTCTTTATAGTCGGCTACGAGCGAGAAAAAGAAAAGGAATTTGTGAGTCTCACTCCACCGTGAGATGACGGCAGTTCATAGTAAGAGTCTGTTTTTCACACGATCACCTCTGGTTAACTTAACGTTCTGTTGGCCTGAAGTTTTAAAAGTGAAGAAAAGAACTTTTCTAATATAGGCAAGCTTAGATATATTTAACTTTATCTCATGACGTCAAAATTAGGACATTCAGGTCTAAAAATGTTCAAGTAATTGTCCCAAGGTCAGAAAACTAGTCCAGAGAACCAAGACTAGAACCCGATTATTTTAATTCTTTTGAAAAGAGAACATGATGAACATTGTAAGAGGCAAAGGAAAGGAGCAGCACTAAGGTTAAGAGCCATCTTATGACACAGACAAGAGTTTTATACGGAAATTGTATACACGGCAAGAATAGAGGTTTTCCGCCTGGCCGGTGTGGCTCAGTGGTTGAGCACCATCCTGTGCACCAGGAGGTCGCCCGTCTGATTCCGTCCAGGCACAGGCCAGGGTTTCGGGCTCAATCCCCAGCAGGGGGTGTGGGGGAGGCAGCCAATCAATGTTGATGTTTCTTTCTCATCGATGTTTCTCTCTCTTCCCCCCTTCCTCTCTCTAAAATAAAAATTTTTTTTAAAAAATGGGGTTTTCATAAGCGACTTCACTATGAATTTACGTGGATCCGCTGCTCCATCTGGTGACGACTCTCTGGGTCCGTTTCCCGACAGGGGAGCCTCGTGTGCAGCGCAGCAGGCAGGGAGGCGGCCTGCAGGTAAGTGGGCATCAGCAGTATTCTCCTTCACTTGGTGCCTGGCTGTTCCCTTCTACCTTACTATCACCTCCAGATCATCAGAATCTCGGAAAGACAGTGCCCTTCAAAGATTCTGCAGGCCAGAGCGTGGACACCCTTGTGAGGGGTGGCGCTGCAGCTGCCGGCCGGGTGTCATGCGGGAAGCCACTGGCAGGGGCATGTGTCCTTGTGAAGGAAGTAACGTGAAGAGCACTGATTCCAGGAGGCCAGGGACAGTGTTTGGAACAGACCAGTGGCTGGCAAAAAAATTCAAATGCTTTCGGCAGGAAGCTGGTCGCTGCCAAAAATAACTGGATTTAGAAGACTGGATGCCTGTGCCTCTGGGAATAACAGCAGCTCTGGAGCTACGTACCTATGTCAATGCACCTTTGTTTGGCCGTGTGCTGCCGGGAGTGCCAGTACTTCCAGTGCCGTAACTGGTCCTCCCTGCTTTTGTCTTCAGCAAACACCACCATGATCACACTCTACGAGAGAAGTCATTACAACGTGAGGGCAACGCAGGGTGAGTATCTTTGGGGAAACGGATCCAGTGCCGGGTTTTACGGGGAAGGCTTAAAACTGCACTTCAACTCATCTAGATCTGCGGCAGGCCTGGGACCGCCGAGCTCTGACGGCTCCCGAGAGCAGCACCCAGGCAGGCTCACCCGCACTTTGCTGATGGGGTGGTGGATCCCCTCGTTGCTGCTCACTTCCTTGAGGGTCACAGGGTAGAACTGGCCTTTGTTCAGGTAGGTCATGGTGCCATCTCCCGGCTTCTGCCGCAGCGACTTGGAGGCCTCTAGCGTGTACTCGAAGTTGTTCCTGGGGGCAAACAAGTCACAGCGCTCGAGTCCACCCCCCGACGCTTCCCGCGCACTTTAGCTCAGCCTCCAAGAGCTTCAGTGTGAGAACAGCAGGCTACGGGAAACGTCCGGCTGACCCTGTCCTATTACACACAGCATCTGCTTTCCCATGATAAACGTGACCTAAGCAGCACAGAAGCTCTCAGATTTCACACGTGGGGCCACAAAGTGCCCGCCAGAGATTCCGTGGAGTAATGCTGACTATTAGAAGGTGGGCGGCTGAGGCTGGTAAAGATGCTACTCAGCGGGAGGACTTGGGAGGGAGTCTCAAGACACGCTGCCCATCTGGTATCTGCCCAGCAAGGGTTGCCAACAGGTGGCTGGCAGGCCTCCGATTAAATTAGATTTGGTCTGCACAGCACTTTTTGGTTGTTTCTGCTTGTAATTTAACTGTCTTTAGACAGGCACACAATCCTCTATATTTGCTATTACCTGAGAGTGCCATCCATATAGCCCCCTGAAGTTGCTTCATCACCTGCCTGGGCCAGGGGTTGGTGAATAACACCTATCTTTATAAATAAATCTACTTTTGTAAATAAAATGTAAAATGTGCTGGAACACAGCCACGCCTTGTTTCCCCGTCATCTGCGGCCGACTTTGTGCTACGGCAGCAGAGCCCGTTCACCGCAGAGGCTGCCGGGCCCACGAAGCCTAAGACGCTCACCACCTGACCCTCCAGAGAGAGCGGCCAACCCCTGGCCTAGGCCCTAAAGGCATCTCAGTCTGTGACTCCTGCACCCCGAGGCGGGTCTTTAAGGGAAGTCTCCATTCCCATAAGATCCTAGACTTCTGAATAAAACGCTTCTTTACTTCAAAATATACACACACAAAAAAATACATAAAACAAGACTATAAAATGAAATCTTAAACTCTTTCTGAAAAATCTGAAGGTGTTTTTATATATGTTCATAATTAACCTGGAAAACACGCATATTCCGAGAGTGAGACACCGTCTTGTGAGGTTTAAAAGAGGTTATCTGGTCAGAAAAAAAGTTGACTTCATTTATTTTATCATTAGCGAGGCTAATTAAAAAAAATAGAAGCCTTTATCCACCTGATGTTACTCCCGTTTCTCACGGAATGATGCACTTTAGAAATGGACTTTTGGGACCTCAGGGCTCTAACTTGCCGCCCTCCTCTCCTCCCTCGGGTCCCGCTCTGCCACCATCACATAAAGAAGCCAAAGGACAGAAGAAGCACCAACACCGAGGGTTGAGGGACACGAACCACAGCTCAGAGTCGAAAGCACGAAGCAACCGTCCTGCGGCAAAGAAAGGCGCCACTGCGACAGCGACTGCAGTTAAGGTGCAGCTGAGAGCCCGCGAAAGCCACCTCTGATTTTTCAACATCAAATTAACGAAAGGAAATGTTTTAAAAGCTGAAAGATAAAAAGTCAAATTAAAAGACAACTATTACCCAGAAACACTGTCAAAAACATAGTCCTCTGAGTTCATGCCCGGCATCCGCAGACTGAGCTCCGAGGGGAAGAAAACCTGAAATATCAAGGGAATGAGCCACAACTATTGAACCGGTCACCAGGCTTGCTCACTAAAGACCCACGTAGACACGGCACAGAGCCCGTGGCTGCAGCAACCCGCTACTCTCTCAGCGTTTGTTTGAAAATAAAAGTTTTAATTCTATGAAAACTTAAAAAAAGACATTAAAAAGAAAAACATTCATTTTATATGCCGCTCGATTAAATTAAAACAATCTAAGGACGCCCACAAAGTGCTTCAGTAATTCCCTTTCCCCAACATACTAATTCTGTTCAAATTCTTGTGTCTGCAAACGTCGCCTCCTGATTTGGGGAGTCAGCACTGTCACTGTGCCACGTTAGGACAGGGTGTCAAGTTCACACACGGTGGGGGGGGCCGGTGCGCTTTCTCAGGAGAGGTTATTACTCTACTCCCATTTCCACAGGCAGAGATAGTCCCCGCCCCCCCTCGTTAAACGCGGTTTGAAACATCTTCAGTCCAAAGCGCTCGGAAGCATTTGCAGTTCACTTGTAAACTCCACGCAGCGCGCCTGGCCTCCAGCTCCGCCTGCCTCCCTGACAGCACCGCCAACCCAGAACCGCCGAGCAAACGGACACACGACGCGTCACTTTACACTCAGACCGGCTGCGGGGAGCCTGCGTGGGCCTTTGCAGCAGCCGAAAACAGACCACGTGGATCCACCTGCTGTCGGTGGAAAACTAGGTGCGGGGCTCCCTTCCTCCTGCTCCGCTCGCTGCAATCCTAATCGGTAACTCAGCTGCTGGTAAGATTAGCCGTGTGCCCGATAATTTCTGGTTTTATAGGTTTAGTTTACAAATTACACCCCGGGGCCTTTTCTCTTTGAAAGCCCCACTTTTGTTCCTAATCCACTCTCTTCAGGCTGAGTTTCAGGCTTACGTAAGGGGGAAGGGGCGGACCCCACACTCGCAGGGTGCCGCAGGAGGATGCCCGCCTCCCTACCTCCTGGACGCCTTCCTTGAAGGGCTCGGAGAAGGTGGAGTCCGGAGTTCGCCTCTGCGCGTTCGGGGGCTGGGCGCCCGAGCTGAACTGGTCGGGGTTGAGGCTCCGGTCGAAAACCACCACCCGCTCGGCGGGCTCAGGGTGATACACTGCGGGCGGGATCCCCACAGCGAAGCCGTGGGGCTGGGTTTCCGTCTTGATGGAGTGGGTGGGCATCGTTGCTATGGAGACGGTGACTGTTGTATCGGGAGCTGCGAGGTGGCCTCTCTTGTCGACGCCCAGCTGGTTGCCGTGGGGAAGGACGATATTAAACGGCACGTTTTTCAGAACCTGCACCCTGTTTTCTCCGGCAGAAACGAGGGGCGGCTCGGGCACGTTTGGCACGCTGGTTCTTTAAGAAGACAAACAGAGCAGTTTCAATGTGAACACAGCCCTCTGACGATTTTTACTTTTTAATTGTATTTATTTATTTTCAATCCTCACCCAAAGACATGTTTTATTGATTTAGAGAGAGAAGAAGGGAGACAGAGACAGAGGAACATCGATGTGAGAAACACTGATCGGCTGCCTCCCATACGCACCCCACCTGGGGATCAGATCCAAAAGCCAGGTGTGTGCCCTGCCTGGGAATCGAACCCACAACCTTTTGGTGCACAGGACAGTGGTCCGACCAACTGAACCACCCGGCCAGGGACAATTTTTATTTTTCTAACGGCACTGGGCCGCTGGGTCCCGTGCAATAATTATAATACACTTGGTAGAAATGAAAGAAATAGAAAATGCAGGACAACCCATGATGGCCTTAGACTTCATAGTTACAGGTCAAATGAAATCCAAACGTATTTTTGAGTTTTGAATACTGAGAACTCAGAACTCTCCTCTATTACACTTTACTTTTTTTTTTTTAATATATCTTTATTGATTTCAGAGAGAGAGGAAAGGAGGGGGAGAGAGAGATAGAAACATCAGTGATGAGAGAGTCACTGATCGAGCCCACAACCCGGGCATGTGCCCTGACCGGGAATCGAACCCCGATTGCCCGGATCCTAGGTCGATGCTCAACCGCTGAGCCATGGGCTACACTTTACTTTCAATAATTCTAATAAATTACCAAGTTTTACTAGAGCCCTGAAGCTACTAACATGGTTAGCTGGGTCTGTCTAGTATGGTGGCTCTCATACAGGCTCTAGAGTCTGGCTCAAATTCGGTGTGACCTTGAGCTGGTTACTCCACCTCTGAGTAACTGCTCACCTGTGAAATGGGGACAGTGGTGTCTGTCCTCACGAGGCTGTGTCAGGGTGAATGAGTCAACGCCCTGCCGTGTGTAACAATGCCTCGCACCCAGGGCTCAAGAACTGTGCGCTGTTATTACTGGGCCACCTGTGTTCCCAATACTTATACTTCTTTGACTTTCTCTTCCACCATAAGAGCACCTATGATTACACTGCACCAGTAGATATATTTGCATAAAATCACTTTTGCTTTAATAAATACCCTGGGAAATAGAAGATGATTCTAGTCCAGGGTAAAATTAATGAATTTTCCAAGCGTCCTCGAATCATTTAGTCTCTTTTTTATTTTTAATCCCCACCTGAGGATATTTTTTTCATTGCTTTTCTGTTTTTTCTTTTTTTTAAAAAATATATTTTTATTGATTTTAGAGAGAGGAAGGGAGATGGAGAGAGATAGAAACATCAATGATGAGAGAGCCATTGATCGGCTGCCCCCTGCACGCCCCCAACTGGGGATGGAGCCCACAACCCGGGCATGTGCTCTGCCTGGGAATCGAACCCTGATCCCCTGGATCCTAAATCAACGCTCAACCGCTGAGCCACGCCTGGCTGGGCTCCAATGCTTTTCAAAGACAGTGGAGGGGAGAGGGAGAGAAACATCGATGTGAGAGAGACACACCGATTGGTTGCCTCCTGCTTGTGCCCCGACAGGGGTGAGGGATCGAGCCTGCAACTGAGGTACATGCCCTTGGCTGGAATCGAACCCAGGACCCTTCAGTCCAAGGGCCGATGCCCTAGCCACTGAGCCAAACTGACTAGGGCCACAGGGCAATTTTAAAGGTATATTTAAATTTTCTTTTCATGACTATAAACTCAAACCTTAATTTAGTTTTCTGAAAGTTTTAACATAGAATATTTTTAAAAATAACTTTAACAGGAGTTTGGAATACAGTTGAATTTGCTTTATTAAGGTTCGCTTAGATAGTTATTCAAGATCACTGGTACTCAACTTTTTTTCATGGACCCCACCACTGCCGTAAGCCACATCCTTAAGAGAACATCAAAGACAAATAAGCGAACACGTTTGTGATCACTGAAAACACTCCTGTGGGGGGAGAAAGTTCTCACTTTGCTTTCTAGAAAAGGCAACCACGTCTAAAGGAGCTGGTGACTCCTCAGAGCAACAGAATCATCACCGGTGAGAGGCAAAGCAGTAATGAAATGTCAGTTTAGACAGCCAGAGTCCAGCCTACCTCTCTTCCTCTTGTACTGGTTCACTGGAACAAACTCCCATCTTACCGTCACAGACACCTGGCATTTTTCAAGAGGCCTGCTTTAGGCTTGCGCCAGACATTACCTTTTGCTGTGATCGCCCTCTGGGTGCTCAACTTCAGCCTTTGCGGTTGACGACCTTCTCTCTCGAGGAACCTGAGATATTAACACACATGGTGACAATCTGACCCTTACTCAGCGACGCACAGGTTCCGCCTCCTGCCGCCTCCCGAACGCCAGGCTCCGGGGCAGCAGGACAGATGGCACAGCGTCTGCCCTCAAGAGCTTCCAACCTGGCCACCAGGTGCATATGGAAAAACCAACTATCACTTCGCTGTCAAACAGACTCAGGGCATCCCAACACTTACTGTCACTGAGTTTGGGTTTCATCTCTTAAAAGAAATAGCTCTGCCCTGGTTTATGCAGGTAAATGGGGAAAAGGCGTTACTGAACGCACATCTGGGCGCGTCCGGCTTTCTTGCTGCTCCTCTCTGCTACTTTTCCTTTCAGATCAAATGCAAAATCAGAAGGATCAGCTGTGTTCACAGAGCACCCCCAAGATCCAAATGCTGGTTTCCAATGATACATTTCTTTAGACACTGGGGATTATTATGGCCCATCATCCAAAGGACAAACGGAACTCAGTGAGCTCCGTTCCCTGTCCGATTCTGCTCTCCTCTGCACGGGAGGCGAGCACAGGCAAACATCGCGGGGACACTGCGGACCTCAGCCAGCCGAGGCGTGCTCCCAACGTGTGCGCCAACCCTGCTAAGATGTCTGAAACTTATTTTACCCTTAAAGGAAAAAAAATGTATTTTTCATGCATTAATAATGTGCTTTTAAATCTTTACCAAGGTTGTTATGTAAAAATGACTGGTGGTTATACCTGAAAAATGGAAACAAATAAGTTGGTTCATTTAAAAACAAACAAACAAAAAACCCTACACTTATCAAAAGAAGCTTGACATAGAGAACTGCTAAGATTGTCACCCTTAATGAGCAGACAGGAAAACTGATCTCCTCCTAAGGTGTAAAATACCTTTAGGACCCTTTATTTCACACACACACTGCAATCAGTATCATTAGTCAGTCTTTCTGGCACTAAACCTGTTGGTTTCCTCCCACTCTCAAGAGTTTCAGTTACAAATATGTAACTTCAAACTTCATAATTAATACTTACGAAGAACTCAGGGTCTTCACACTGATTGAGTCAATAAAACAAGCCATAAAAAGAACAGATTATATAATAAGTTCTACTTCAAAGGAACCTTAGTGGCCGTACTTCCCAGACAAGGTTTCTTGCAGCCTCACTAGTTACTACACAAGTTTCCATTCATATTCAAAGAAAAAAATACCTCACTCTCCGAAACACAAGTTGACCACACGACCTCATATCAGAAAATAATTAAACCTTTTGTTTAGGTCCCACCCTAATTTTGATATCAAATTATCTTCTTTGCTTTTTCCCCTCTGCATTTTTCTTTTCTTTTTTTTAACCCTCACTTGAGGGTATTTTTTCCATTGCTTTTCAGAGGGAGTGGGAAGGGAGAGAGAGAGAGAAATGTCAATGTGAGAGACACACATCGACTGGTTGCCTCCCACACATACCCAACCAGGGCCGGGATCCAGCCTGCAACTGAGGTATGTGCCCTGGGCAAGAATCGAACCCAGGACCCTGCAGTCCAAGGGCCAAGGGCCGACACTCTAACCACTGAGCCAAACAGGCGAGGGCTCTGCATTTCTTACATTCGGGAAGGAACTCAGGGCCCGACTATAACAAAAGGCAGGCAAATGGCCAACCTAAGGGAAAGTATTAAGGAGTTGATTATCCTGTTATTTTAAGTTTTCTACAGGTTTGGAAGTTTTCAAAACAAAAAGGCGGCAAACATGAACTTAACACGTAGCCATCCTCACGTATCTGCTGAGGAGAGTCCAGCAAGCGGGGCCCATTCCTCGGGAGACCCCATGGCACACCCAAGAGGACGACCTGGGCACAAACCAGACCAGGCCCGACGTCCTGGCGGCAACACACACTAGCTGTGGGACCTGAGAACTTATCTTTCTCATCTGCAAACCAGGGGTAACGCCACAAGGATCCTGCAGGGACGCGTCGGAAGTATCACGCACGCTGTGAGCAGGTCTAGCACAGTCTAGGTGACCGGTAAGTGGCAGCTAGCATCACTAGGACAGCGATACAGCGATGACGATACAGGGCAGTGTGTCATGTCCTGAACACCACGTGAACCTCCAGGCAGAGGAGAGACTCTCCTTAATGAAGACTCATCCAAACCTCTAGCGACAGGCAACAAAAAATATTCTGATCTCGGAACTAGAAAGTCCAAGACTAGAAAATACCGTGAGCTTGTTTTTCATGAATCCTACAACCCAGTCCAATCCAATCCAAGGCTTTACATCATTCCGGGGAAAGGGGATCACTCTGACTACCCAGGGATGCACCTCCGCCACCCCGATGGCGCTAAGAACTACCTTCCGTAAAACGTTCAGTGTCAGTAAGACGCATCCCCCATCCTGTCCTTCCTGATGGAGCCAGAGCAGCCGGCTGCTTCTCACGTTTGAAAAACAACCCTTTGATTCTACGATCTCGGATCTTCAGCTTTGAACCAGAGCAATTCAAAGTGCTCATTAAACTATTTATAGTCACTACACAAGCAACCTGCGCTACATCCTACCGGCAAATTACTGTTTTACACGGGGGCAGTGGAAGGGGCGGCGGCCCTACCTTGTAATAGTCGTAGAGCAGGCCCAGCGCGGCCGCGCTGTCCTCGTCGCCGTTGATGCTCATCATGGCTTTGGTGGCCGCGGTGAGAGGGTTTTCCAGGAAGGACTTCCAGGCCTCGTCCTCGCTCGTGTAGGAGCGCCGCTGCGGGTAAAGTGCCTCATTCTGAAGAACCAACACCGGCCGTTTGCTTCGGAGACATTTAAGAAACATGTATAAACACACGTATTCCTTCTGCAAGGCATCATAAGCTCGCTTTTAAGAAGAGCCGAACAGCTCGGCCGGCGTGGCTCAGCGGTTGAGGGCCGTCGACTAGGATCCGGGAGACCGGGGTTCGATTCCTCATCAGGGCACACGCCCCGGGGGCGGGTCGGCCCCCAGCAGGCGGCGTGCAGGAGGCAGCCCATCAGTGACTCATCATTGATGTTTCTCTCTCTCTCCCTCTCCCTTCCTCTCTCTGAAATCAATAAAGATATATTTAAAAAAACAAAATGAAACAAACAACCAATTCACTGATGTTCCAATAAAATAGTCCATTGTTTCCTCAGTGACTCTATAAAGTAAATCAAGACAAGAGCAGAAGACAACTCACTTAATCGCAGGCCAGTGGGTCACCCCGTAAGATATAAGGTATTTAGGCTGTCAGAGGAGCTGCAGTTAACCTACACATGCAACCCAGGAGGTACCATCTGGCAGGAAAATTCAGCTATTCCAACACTTCACATAAGCAAACACCAAGGCCACAGTAAGGCCACAGAGAACGCCGACTCTCTCCAGACACAGGCAACCAGGCCGTATCCTCCTAAAGGGAGCACATACGGTTCAGTCTTCACCCGGCCACACGTTACTTCCCTTCCTCCCGCTGGTTCCAGGCCTTAAAACCCTTCCCGCAGCCAAATGAGCAGGGGAGGAGGGGGCGGGAGGAAAAGGGAGACTTGGTTTAATCCTCCGGGGTATATGAGAAAGTTAGAGTATTCTACTGATTACCCGCAGATTGAGCATGGAATGTGGCCAAAGGGGACTGTAAATCAGTAAGGAGGCATAATTTTCTGGCCCGGGGAGGGACTGAACTGTTTATCTTAGAGATAAACACTTGAGAATCTACAACAATAAATGAAGCCACTGAACAAAAAGGTTTTTACAAAACTAGGAAGGAGAAATCTGTTTGTTTGTTTTTTTTAAAAAAAATCTCTACCAGTCTTCCACACGGCCCAACAACGGTTTCCTCTCAACAGTGTAGTTTGGTGGGAAAAATCCAGAAAAATCAACGTGGATCTTAGTAAACTCTCACAGAAGATTTGACTTAAAAGATTAAAGCAAACATTACTGATTCCAAAAACGTGAAATGCAAACAGTCTCAACAACCGTTCAGTGGGTACTATTTAGTAAGTCAATAACGAGAGAAAGTGGAACACTAACTCCAGCGAAATGAAGTGGTTTTCTTTCTTTTTTTTCTAAGGAAAAAAACTGAAGTGTTCAGAACCACTCTGAACGATCGCTATTCTGACAAGCCAACGTAAGGATCAGTTCTCATTGCAACACACAGATGAAATATGTAAATTGCCTAAAGGTGACCTACCCACTCTAAAAGTGAATGTAGAAAGACTGACTGGTTATCTTTTCAAGTAATCAACAAAGGTTAGGGTTTGGCAGTCACCCAGGCCCTTTAAAAACAGACACAGATTTTTTTTTTTATTTTTAAAAAGGAGAGCGTCTTTGAACAAGGGGACGGGAGGAATCCAACAACTTAATTTATCTCCGTCAAAATTAAGTCGTATTTCAAAGGCAGTGTTTTCACGCATGTCTAGGCATCAAAGTCCCAGGAGCTTACATCTGGAGGAAAAAGGAGACTCCGGACGGTGCGCTGCTGGAACAGAGACGCAAGGGCTGCTGAAAAGAGGCGAGGGAACGAAACGCGCAAGGGGCACCGCCGGTGCCATCGGGCACAGGGCATCGGGCAGCTCCTGAACCAGCGGGTGCCTTTTGGGGTGACTCGCTGGTGCTACTGCTAATTATTAATAGTGCTAATAGCTACTTTCAAAGGGCGATGACAGCCCTTGGCTCCTTCAACCCCCGTAACGCCGGCTGCTGGGCTTCCCATCTCCCACGCCGGCCCAGATCCGAGGGGCAGCAGAAGGTAGAACAGCTTTTTTCGCAAATCGTTCTGCCTGCGATCACCCCGAAGGTGTCTTGCGTTTCCCAAGTGTGCCTAAGGCCGAAATGTCAGCGTTGGAAACCTGCCTTATCTGAGCCGCATGTTGAGAAATAAATACGACACAGGCCGCCTCTGTGCACTTCCTCGTAGGACAGGCTGTCGCCAGTGCCCGGGGCGTCAGCGCCTTGGGGGCGCCCGGCCCTCCACCCGCGGTCTCCCCAGCGCTGCCCACGCTGTGTTTCAGAGACGATCCCACCGCACATTCCACAGCACACGGTGGCTCTGCGTGGGGCGTCCCGCGTAAACCCCTCCCTGCGCATCCAGGCGGCGGGCGCGCTGGCACAGCCTGATTCGGGTGGGTGCGATTTGTGGTTTTTTGTGTATTTTTAAAAACATTTTTTGGGACAATTTTACCATCACAGGGAAGTTGCCAAGGAAGCCCAGCGCTACGCCTCGCAGGGTCCCCTAGCTTAGCGCCCGATGTCGCCCTGCGCCGGGCGGAACAGTTGGAACCTCCGGCCGGGGCGCGGGGGCCGGCGCC